TGGACCCCCTGGTGGCTGTCTGTTTTGGGCGGAAATGCGGGGTAGCTACAAGACGTACGGGTGGTGCAGACAGATAAGGGTCGATCCGTTTGAGGTGATTAAATTTGGTTCCAGAGGTCAGTCCGCATTTCCAAAGGTTGACAAGACCATAGGGTTGCTGGAATTGGACAGCTTTGGATCTGAGTGGAGTTATTTTGAACAGGCTTGGAACCAGCGACTGAACACTGTTAGTTGGATGTAATTAGCTCTTTAACCATACTGACTGCAGTATCGAGATTTTGGGACCATAGCATTTCTACTCTCTACTGCTATTATAATTCTAATAGAACGAACTCAAGTTGAAGCGCTGAAGTGAAGAGCCAATCAGTGATTTGACCACACATTCGTGGCAAGTGGCAACTAAGTGTAGACTGAAACGATTGCATGCTACTTTCCGAAAGAGAAAACTGTTTCAAACTAGCAAGGCGCACTGTATTAAATTCAGAGCAATCATCTGGGACAGGCTGTGGTCTTGTCTATGGTGTTCTGTAAGTAAATATTTACAAATTGTATTCATCCCTGCCAGCCATTAAACTGACCCCTTTGGCTGGAATGATGCCAAGCTAATAATACGAAATAACAGTAAAAACTGGGCGAAAACAAAATGGGAAAAGGATAGCAGGGAGAAACGTCTAAAATCCCTCAAGCAGAGCACAGATGATTGGAGAGTCTCGCCAGTGCTAAGTACAGTGAGTCGTCGAGCCAAAGTTAACATGACGCTTGAAATCCTTGGTGCGCCGAAACTGAACTGTTCGATTCCCAGCCTGGGAAATTAATCCCTGCCACTGTATTCAGTACGGACCCTCCCTTAAAGTGCAAGTCAGGTAGAACTAGAATGGGAAGAGAATAAAATGGGGGAAGAATGTCATTGGAAAACTACGAGCTCATAGGACTTACAAAGAGGAGAATGGGGGACATAAATCCGTCTGGAAGAGGAAAGCTAGGCATTACCACCTCAACGGCATTAATAAGAGGTGACAAACTCTTGGTGGTGACTCAGAAGCGAGGTCCAGTTTTCGATGGCTAAGTGCAGCAAACGAGTTTCTAGTGTGGTACGATCAAATTGCAGGGTACTTACAATTTTCCACGGAGACTGGCGAATTTTACAAATAATGTGACATTACAGATCTTTGGTGAACGGTTCAATTGTGTTCACCATTTTTACAAATCGAGATGCTAAAAGGTTGAAACCATCCCTGAGATGAGGCCTAAGTGTTTAGCGATTTCAGAAATATACGCTGAGCGATTCACTGAGCATAGGATGAAGCCACGCCCTGGGCAGCCCTCAGAGGTTGTCTCGTTGTTTTGCTTTCGGTCAAACAGGATCCTTCTACAACTTTCAACCTGCTTCACGCAGGACAAAGTTATCATGAACAAAAATATACTTGCATAACATTGCCTACTCAGTTCCCGTTGGGAGCAACATGTGCATGTCTCGCCTGATTGAATGAAATAGTCTTGCAAGTGAGCACCTCAGGCTTGGAGAACTTTCTGGGACCAGTTGAACATGATGCAGATTAGCCTCTTTCCTACTGGAGCTGAGCAGTCCTCGCAGCTGGAAACAGCGGGGATCTTGACAGCACCGTGGTAAACAGGGATTTTAACCGCTGTATGTCCGACCCAGATGCGTCCACTCTGGCTGACCAGGCCTCTCAGTCAGTCTCTGCATGCATTTACAATGACGTCGATTGGTTATCATGAGGTTCCACACAGAATACACGTCTTTTGACGTGTGCAGTGTACAGATCCAGTGGGCATAGGCGTCCCAAATTCATCACACGGTCCGGTTCAGTTCCAGGTAGCGAACTGATGGATGCCGACTGACAGACCTCGTCCAGCAGCTGCGCACACACAGTTGGACAGGCCTGCTCTGACCATCGCACTTTCTGGCACGTGCCTCCCACCATCAAAGTGGGTATGACATTGTATGGTTGAATCACCGAACCGGCAGCATCCGTCCTTGCCATCACCTACAAACCCGTATCCTCTCTATGGGTTGCATCATCTATTAGGTAACCTTTCGAAGCCCCACACATCAGTGAAGATAGTGGGACATAGGCTTACTGGACGATAGCCACTACGCTCCAACAAGTATGGCTCATATCCATTCCTAGTTTCCCTAACCAGTCTAACCACAGTAATCATGTCAAGCCCTCCGGTCTTCACAGATGTGCTAAAACCATGGCGGATTTTTGAGCACAGGCACTGCACATAGTGGAGTTCTCCAGAGTTGTTCAGTACTGGGTCCGCTACTGTTTCTTTTGTTCATAAATGACTTGGCCCTTTCCTTGAGGAGCCCTCCTACATTTTTTGCTGATGACTTCAAGTTTGTTAGCAAGGGTGACAGGGTTACTCTACAGATTTGGCTACCGTTGTTAAATGGTCAGGCTCATGGGATCTGCCCTTAAACACCAGTAAATGCCAAATCTTGACTCAGAGTAGCGATAAAGTGATACTGCAAGCATCCGTTGGGTCCCTGACGATGCAAACTGCTATCGAAGCAGGTGATTTTGGCATCATCTTGACGAATAACTTCAAGCCGTCGGCGCAATGTAAGCATGCTGCTAAGAAAGCACGACAGAAGTTATTCCAACTTACTACAGCCGTGAGTTGTACCAGGCCAGAGATCTCCCCTTGCATAAAGCAGTGGTCAGACCACACTTGGAGTACCATGTTTAGGCCTAGGCACCCTTCTTGCAGAATGACGTAAATTGTATTGAGAATGTGCAAGGACTGCCCACTTGAATGATAGAAGGCCAGCGGTGATAATCTTATGAGGTTCGGTTAGCCAACTTAAGGAGAAGACGCAGATTGAGAGGGGACTTAATACAGACATTCAATATCATGAAGTGTCTCAGCGGCCTCAGGACAACCGATTTCCTTGAACCATCTACGTCGGACTACTGAAGTTGAAACAGCGGAGACCTAGGCTCGATCTTAGAGCTAAATTCATCTAAAATCGTATAGTGCCTAGTTGGAACAATCTTCCTTCTGCATTCTTAAAATGCAAAAAGGTAGAGGACTTCAAACGAGGCCTGGATGAAATGTGGTTGACCCTGTTCCCCGAACTCTTGTGAATACTCATTTCAGCCTCTAAGCAAATGCAAGTAGCCTATGCAAATACATGAACATACAGTGGCTTTTGGCTCTTCTTTTTTGTTGAATGTAAACGCAAGAATCTATTATCACGTCGAAGTGCTGGGAGCTCTTCTCGCTTACTGGCACACGAAACAGGACGCTGGCTAAGCGGAAGCTTATTTCTTCTCTGGATCCTGTCCTGAACATAGCTGACAACTATTTAAAACTGCAGTGACCTCAGGGGTCTTCAACCATAATCCCGGTCAGTCTAACAATGTTACTTATACGCTCAGAGTACCCACAACTACTGGCTGGGAGTATGGTAGCAACGCGGCTTTCGATGAAGTCGAACACGCGCCCTTCGTGCAGTCAGGAAAAACAAACGAACACCCTCGCCTACAACCGAGGATGTTAGACTGATTCTGCACTGCAGTGCGCAAATTGTACGTAAGACCTCAGCTGTGATCTGCTATATTCGGGTCTGGTAATCCTGGTGGAAGTACCGTCTCACTGGTCTCCATCTTCTACAGAGAAGGGAAGTGAAAAATGTGTTATGGCTTGTTCCATCTCCCACACTTCGTATGCGGAACTCCGTAGGAGTGTACAGCCAGCAGCATCGACCTCTTCATGGCGACCACATGAATATAATGCTGCGCCAAAGGGTACACGCATCACTCTGTGCCATGTTTAGTTTTGAGGTCGCCATTCTTACCTAAACCATCCTAAAGGCCTGTTACACACGTAATAAGCCATTTACCCAAAGGTCCACATCTGGTAGGAGCACACGGTGTGTCGTTCCGGAGTTTGATGACATGATATAGACGTATTGAAAGCTGAGCTCGGTGGATGAGACGCTTCGGCCAACTATGGGGATTGGAAACACGATGGAGCATAGCGAGCTCAGTCAAGAGATCAGCGACACTGTTGCGCGTTCGCTCTCAATTCATATTCCTCGCAATATTTTGTTCTTTTGTCGACTTCCAATCAATCCCTTTGCTCTCACTGCTTTTTGCTTCGTTTTAAACCTATTCCACTAACAGTGGGAGTCAGGACAAGTGGATACACCGCACTGCGGTGCATCGAGATCCAGTGGAGTAGCAACTACCCTTTTCGCATGCCGTCCGCGGTGGACCGCACCCCGCCCACCCTGGTTACTCCTCTACAGAGGATCATGGCTTATCAAGTGAACTAACCTGAACTGGATCTCGATCATGTTCAGCCAAATGCGCAATGTTTCGCAAGCATCGGCGTTCACTGACAACGAACTTACCAAACGCATTACCACGCTGTTGCTACCATTCTAACAATGGACATGCCAGAGAGTTTCGCAACGTAACTGATAGTTCACTGTCCTCAAAAGTGGTTAAGGATTTTGAAGACCAGAAGAAACTTGACGCTAATGTGATAATACTGAGCTATATGGCCTAATCATTCGTTTTGAAACAGCTTCCTCAGACATGTGGACAGACTGTTTTGGCGATGGCAAGATTTGTGCACCTGTTGGGTCAGTCCATATCAGTTCGTGTGTTAACCCGTGTTGGACATTTCGCTAGCTCTTGCAAACGGGTACGATGTGGCTTCAAGCGCATTGGTTGCCAACATACTGGTCGTTCGCGAAGGCATTCATGGTCTTCTAGCTCGCAAAATAAGATGTCAGAGATGAAGCAGCCGGCCTATCGAAATGCGGCGTCCACGTATCAAGAGTGGGGGACACTGGCTTCAAATCACCCGGAAACTTCAACCCAACTTGATACATCAAACCCACTTGTCCACCTGGTGATAGGGCTACCAGTTCAACCAATCAACTAAGTTGTCGTGTAAAACTTTTGGTTATTTTAAAGTTCAGAATAATGAGTTGACTTCTGTTTAAGCCCAGCACTTACCTTTCCATGATGAATCGATAAATTCCATTCAATGTAGCCCTTTTTTCCGGTTGCTCCGTGATCGCCATTGTGATCAGAGCTATGTAAGAGAATGGTGGTTTGACGAATGCTTCCCCATTCGTGCCTCCAGAATGATGGGCGTCGGAAGACGCGGGGTTTTCGAGCAAATCCGGGGTCGGGTGAATGAATGGGGCCATTGGCTTTGCGTGCAACATTGAGGACAAAAAAGCGGAACTCGTTCTTGGGATGACGGAGAAGGAGGCCGAGTACGCTGCGGTAACCAAATTTGACGCACAATTCCGAAATCCAAAAGCAAGATGTGGTGGTATCAAAGTTGATTGCGATGGATCCCATGCCACAGGCTGATAATCGTCTAATGGGTGGGGATCCTTTTGTGATATAGTCGGATACAAGAAGAATGGGTTGGATGAATGATCCGATGCGGTGTGAGCTGCTAGTCGGGGATACACAGATGTTTGATTATACGTCCTCAGGGTGGAGTGATCCGACAGTTGTTCGAAACTTGGGTACCACCACTGGTTAAACTCACACTGCATCAAACCAGCGGTGGAATTCGTGCCGATCACTTTATGGTTAGGATCGAAGGAATAGTGGTGCTCGAGCACTTCACGAACGCAAGGGTCTCTTCCGCGATGCGCCCCTCTGTTATAGTCATGCGGTAGGGTTTTATGTTCATCAAAAGTGTTATGGGGTAAGATGTCTGGAACTTCGGTCATACACGTTTCGCTGGGGGAATAACAACTGATTTTTGCATCAGAACATTGGAATTGCGAGTGAAAATTCCTTTCCTCGTAGCTGGTTTCCATATGTACTTTGGCAACGTTTCGTAAATCAAACACCTTATTTTCATTACATGACCACTGGTTCTCAATGCCATCTGGGTTAGCGCACGATGTAATCATTCCGATTGTGTGCGACGGAGCCAGCGCGCACAGCAATGCCACCAACGCCAGTCGTCAGCATCGGACAACGTATCCGACACTCCCCCCTGGTAGGTGCGTGGCGTTCAGTTGGCTTGCTAGTCACTTAGACCAATCGAGTGTTAGCAACTGCATTAGCGCCAAATTCCACCCCATTCTCACCTCTGATTGGTCCCCTTGGTGAGACAGTAGAGTCTAAGACTAACAGCTGGCCAATTGACCGACGGTTGGAACATTCGTCCCCTGTCATAGTGTTCCAACTCGTGGCTACATGGTGTCAGGAGAGAGCACAGTTAGCATTCGTTCACGCGAGGCTGATGTCAACTCGCAGTGATGATTTTAGTTGACAAGTGGTCTTCGTAAGCCACGAGAAGAACAACAGAGTATGCGTATTATTGTAAAATATCAGTCAAATGGACTATAACGGCCAATCAAAAATCGCATTGGTCGATAACGCGTCATAGGTCCCATCATCGCCTCTACGTCCGTCTAAACGCCATCGATACAATCTTCACACTGGGCGCAGTCGTCTATGATTACTGAAGAGACTTCGCTTATTCCGTGTTGAGGTTTAGCCCGAATTCTAGAAGTAAACCTCGGCTATTTTTATCACTGGAAGTCTAGGAAGCTGGCGAGCGCCTGGTGTTGCTGGTAAACAGCGCTGCACTCCAATACTGGGAGTTTTAGGTGACGATAGTTGGGTAGGGACTGGTACCTGGGATGTAGGGACTACCAAAGGACTCCTTCACCACCACATCGCATAGAACTTCAGACAATGTCTGTCACAATAGTTAGAAATTCACATTTGGGCTAGAACTGCCCCTTCAGCTTGGATGGTGACACGTGATCCCAGTTCGCAGCATCATCAACATACAACTTCTTTAGCAGGACATCGAGTCCCGTGAGCAATATGCATTATAGCTGTTAGAACCCCCAGGATGGGACTACACTGCGCACTACAGCGTATTAATATGCAAGTAGGTGGAGAGTGATCTGCCGTATCTCATAAGCAGTAACTTAGTTATGCGCGGCGTTGGCTTCAAGTGGTCTTAACCACGGACTAGTAACAGTCAGGCTGCGGGTTCTTGCCCCACAGGGATAGGATGGAATGAGCATTGTTGATGATTCGTGACGGGATGGGACGGTCATCCAGTGCCTCCTCTCCGAACGTGTGACAGCTGTTTAACTGAGTCCAAAATATACCAGATAGAAATTCGTTTTGGTTTTGACTAGTCCACTATATGCGCCGTTTACGAATACAACCTGATTCTGCAAAGGCAGTTTGAGTTAGACCCCGGTCCTCACCCTCGTAGAGGCAGCGTCTGAGATGACAAAGTTTCGTTGCTAAGATTCTATGACAGTTGCACACCGGTTCGGGTGGCCCGATGGAGCCTTAGTAACCAAATGGAAAGCTTGCACAACAGCACATTTTTTTGGTTTGCCTACATAGTGTCCGAACGGTGTTTGGATTTCACCACACAAAAATTTGAACGCGGACGAATCCGGTGGCGAAGTGCACACCTGGTAGCAAACAACAATCGAACTTTGTCCCCATCGATGTTTGGTAGATGCGAATCAGTGAAGTGGTCAGTTCTTAGCAATAGCTACACCACTGGTGCACGAAGCAAGATTTCAATCGATCAGCCAAAAGTTTTGCATTCCCAAAATGTGGTGTAGGCTAATTGCAAAAAGTTGATTCGGTGTTCTCTATGAAGTAACCCTGGGCCATTTAGATCATTGGGATCGCATTCGTAGTGACCAGGGGTTACATTAAAGTGAACAATGATTCCAATTGAGATGGCTTATCGTAATGCGAACACACACGGCGGGTACTCCAAGACCATAATGAACTTCTAACCGCTCGCGGAGCTCTGGTCTAGTGACCAAGGCGTAAGCCGTCAACCACTATGTGTCGGATTTCCCTCTCAGCTCGGGCTGACGAGTCCAAATCAAGACGAAACCAGTCGGTCATAGAGTGCAGTGTTGGGAGAAAGCAGGCCCGAAACTCTCCACTTTGGGTGAAATCCGAGTGTATTGTGTCGTCCCCGACTGTTCGCGCCCAATGACAGCAATGAGAACACGGAAGACGAGGCCGGACAGAGTAGTATGCATGAGAATACTGCTTCCTTCTAAATGGGACGCAACAGTGGTATAACCAAAGCTATTAAAGCACATCGGAGCCAACCAACAACATGGAGACGTTGAATGAGGTACCCAAATAAGAAGCAATAAAAGTATTAACTAATCTGTTATGCCTGAGGGAACGGTATTCGCGGGAATGAGACCCTGAGATGACATCCATTACGACGAGCTATACTGGCCAATCAACTTGACGAAATGACTCGTTTAAACAATTGCCAATAACCAAACGACAATAAAACGAAAGCAGATAACTGAGAATTGCCACAATAAGTATATGTCCAGTAGACACCCTTCAAACACAGTAATCGAGATGGTAGAACTTTGCTTCAAATCAAACCGTGTCCTCAGTTGAGATTGAGCGCCGCAATCTAGGCACGCGGCGGATACTCCAAGAACCAACAATGAAAAGTTGCTACGCTCAGTCTCTAAATTTATGTGGTGACCTGTCCTTTTGCAATGGCAGATTTCCATGAATCTAAGTTTCGGTGAATCTGCAACAAAAGGCTGGCTTTGTGCTTCCTGTACACCCAAGGCACAGATTAGATAGGCACGCTATAACAGAATGCTGTCCGGATCAGAAAAAGTTTTGCATCCGTTAGGGAAACAACGACGGGTTTCGGTGCTGCTCGCTATTCATTTCGTACTACTGAGGTTTGTGTACCCATGTTCCTATAGTTCAGTTGGCGTACCATCTAGTCCTGTCCCAAGTTATCGTTATTGATCGTTCAAACTGCCGTGAAGTTAATCCCAGTCCGATTTGAAGCTTTCCACACATAAGCAATGCTATGTAAACGTTTGGGTCTGATGAGTTTACCATAAACGATTCTATCCTGAACTGATTACTGATCTTGTTTCTACGGCACTGTTAACGCATTCATTTGCCTGCACACCCAACGGAATCATTCAGCCGTCACGTGAGCTGCACATTGAAGTACAGGGACGATTAGTTACCATATACTTGTTGGGATGGATCATCACGAGCCACGGTCTGTCTGGCGATGCACGTGACTCGTGTGTTATCAAGCGAACCAGTGACTTGGTCGTGTGTACACATTACAGCTGTGTCCTTTATGTGTCCGTGTTCTTAATTTCAATACCGGCGACGGCTACCCCGTCTCCTCCACCGCTTCATCCCACAAACTACTGCGTTGTTCCGATCAAACTCGCTTGTGTAACATTGGCCCCACTGTCCGTTTCCGTTGGGCGTAACACTGTGGTGTATGGAAAGAGGAGCACTTGGTGAATTACGTTCTAAACTAACTAACTTCTTAGACTGACTTGATACCGTGGTTCTATGGGACAGCGAATATATACATGGCCTACCTCACAATCCACTTAGTGACGTCGTGCTTAATGTAAGTGCTTTTCAACCATATCTTGTGAGTGAATGTGTGTGTGTGTGTGTGTGGAGGTGGACATATCTACAGGTGCCACGGTGCCGTTCAGTTAATAGAAAGCGACAACACGGGTGCACAGTATGACGATTTCCCGCTGCAGACGTGCCTATGTATTGCTCCATCTCAGCAAACCATACCCAGATGCAGTCGTTAGTTACTCATTGGTGGAGCAGACCTCTAGAATTGTGGCACTTATGCCGAAATGATATCTCTCGATATGTGTCAACACCTCCCAGCCTCTCAGTAGTCTTAGAAACAGAAATTTAATAATCCTGGACTCCTGCCTTATCAGCCACCAGCCTAGGCACCAGCCACTAGATTTGAGCACATCGGTAGCATCTTACCAACATTAAACTGTCGCATCATATCCCATTCTGACGCAAATTTGGTCTGGACTTGATAGCGGAGTTTCAATAATAATGTGCCACGTATAAATTTCATTTTCAATGCACACTCCTTATCCCTGTCTTTCTCCTGTTGTGTTTTCCCCAATCTTTCATTGTATCCGCACATCCCACTCTCATGGTTAACTCCCTATGCAAACTTAATCCGGATGTTGGATCACATTTGTTTACAGTTCTTTCTATTCTGCTGTTAAAACTGTTCCGCTTCCCTACATCTGCGGTTAGCTTACACTTATCTGTTCTTCCTGTGTCCATCTTATCTTAGATTTCAATTCCTTGCAAGTTTTAATTATTTTCAATCCTATCCAGATCGTTGACCCATGCAGAAACAGTAACTGTAATGATGAGTTTGGCTGTGCCTTCTGGTCCCCAGACCTTCAAACACATGCGCCTCTGTAAATTTCGTTAAATTCGTCTGCCCAACGTAGTTGTACATGTTAGCGAGAGCGTTAGATGTCGTTTGTCAAGTTGCATCCTTTATTTAATCAACAGAAATTAATCTATCACTATGTTATTTACTATACTGTAATTAGTTTCAACTACCAGTACCTGATCAAACTGAGCCTATCACATTCTAATGTTGATTACAGGTGTTGGGAATCGAAGGCGGTTGATCGGCGTGCATGGCGCGATCTGATCACGAAGGTAGTTGCCGAAATACAAGAGAAAGCCCTCGTGTATGTGGAGAAAAAGCGGCAAGTGCGGAAGCGACAGGCGCCGATGGGGTGTACTCCATCGACGTCGAGCGCATGGTGCTGTAGCACATGCAGTCGCGAGTGCATGAGTCAGGCAGGCCTAGTGAGCCACGAGCGAGGTCACTCGGGATCAGCACTGAAACGACGACGGGTCCTGGTGAGAATGTAAGCGGAACCGGCGCAGCGTTTATAGCTACGTTACATTCGAGTTACTAACCGCCTAGATGCGTGCTGAGTATCTTTATTTCAGGTGGTGGGTTTTCTATCTTGTCTTAATGCTTATTTTCTTACCTCATTTCAAGGTCTGCCTGAATAATCCATTAAATTGCAGATGGCGCTTAAACGAAAGGTGTTTAACTTCGTTTGTTTTCTCAATTTTTCATATGTTTTTTGATCTCTTTAT